GCCGAGGAGCACCAGGAGGAGCGCCCTGAGGAGCATCTGCACGGCGTCGGCCGTGCGATTAAAGTTCCATACGCTCGCCGCCGCGCCAAAGCACATGGCGAAGTGGAACCAGAGCGTCACACCCGCGGACGTCGGGAGAAAGGTGCCGCAGTGCCCTGGGTGGCGAACCGCCCACTGGCGATAGGCGTTCTGAAGGTCGTGGCCAAAGACCACGGGTCCCAACCTTCCGCCCAGACCGAGGGCGGGCCGACGTCCTGGCCACGTACTGGCGGTTCTCCCGGCGCAGCCTGTCCAGTTTTTTGGGGCGAGCGTAACGCTCATCAGAGCGCGGCTTCCAGCCCGGGGCGGCGCGGACTCGGCCCAACATGTCGAAGCCCTCGGTCACGTCCTGTCGGAGGTCGTCCGTAGCCGGGTACCCCAGGTCCCCGAGCAGACGGTCGAAGATAGGCCCCTGAAAGGGCCGGGGCCTATCGCTCGTCTCGTAGGTCGCCCTCACGTGTGGGGGCAGAGTCGCCAGCCAGGCGGTCGTATCCTCCGCGGCGTCGTCGACCATCTCCTGGAGCTCCCTGAGCACCTCGGCGCGGATGCGGACGAGGTCGTGGCGCCACTCCGGCGAAACTGGAGGACCGCCTCAAGGGCGGGTTCCAGCTGGGGCCAACCGACCAGCGAGTGCTGCATACCGGTCGCCGCCGCCCAGTGTGCATCCTCATCCAGCCCTGCGCCCAGGAGGGCTGGCGTAGGCGGCGGTGAGAAGTCCCAGCCTCGGCGCGACCAGACCTGAGACAACCACGTTATGGTGCCCTGACATGGGGGCGGCGCCGGTACCCTACCGGACGCCACTGGCTTCGCCCAGGTTGCCATGACGAGGATCCCCAGCAGCCGGGCGGCGACGCCCCAATGCCAGCGTGGCGAGTTTTAGTGTCGGCTCCCGCCGTGGCCGTGTACCCGGCGGGGATGTGGTGGAGCTGCTCCTTCACATCTGGCGGGGGAATGTGGTGCACGCCCCGAAATTCCTGGAGCATGGCTTCGACGGCCAAGGGGCGAACTGGCGGCCCCCTTCCGCCCAGCGGGCGTCGGCGTCTCGAGGCGTATGCCCCCTGGTGGAGCGCGGCTTTGGCCGCCCGTCGTCCGTGAGCCGGTGTCGTGGCACAAGGCATCAGCTTACGCCCCTGGGCCACCGACGAATGAAACTGAAGGCCGCCGCCGAGCTCGAAGGAATCGGCCGCCGACAGGGCGGCTGTCAGGCGCAGGCGGTCCCAACGACCTCTCTTCGCCCATTCCAGGGGCGAGCCGTCGGCGGGGTCGGTGACCACCCTGGACCATTCCACGCTTAACCACCAGAGGCGCGGGCGAGAGACCCAGCCGAAGTCGGAAGGGCAGACGAAGACGGGCGACACGCCCAGAGCATCGGACGACACCTTAGCCGCCTCCGCATCCATCTCCACGTTCTCGTAAAGGAAGGCGAAGCGATGCTGGCGGAGGACGGAGCGGAGCTCGTCCATGAAGGCGACGGAGTCCTCGAAGAGGCGACCGCGCTCGGTCTGGTGACCCGCCCCCTTGGCGATCCGCGAGAAGTCCTGGCACGGCGGGGCGGCGCACCACAAGACCATCGCCTCGGCGTTGGGGTCAGCTTCCAGGACGAGGTCGGCCACGTCCTTAGGCGAGTCGCGGGTGAGGTCGCCCCTGTGCTCAACCCACGGCATGGCCTGCTGTACCAGGGCCTTGCACGCCCGGTCGACCTCCCAGGACACGGCCAGGCGAGGGCGCCCAAAGTCGCGGTCGACAATGTACGGCGCCGCCCCAATGCCGTCGAAGGCGGAGAGCAGAATGATGTCGCGAGGGCGGTTGGTGCTGAGACGCGGGCGTTTGGCCAAGGGCTGGTCGGGTTCCGAAGCCGCCGCGCCGGCCACGTGTTGTCCTAGCGCCACTGCCATTGGCCTTGACGCTTCCCGCCGGTCTTCTGGCATTGGCCACGGCCGCCCGAACTGGACGACCAGTCTTGGTTGGCGTCGTTCCCCGACCACCAGGCCGCCGAGGAGCCGTCCCAGGAGTGGTCGGACCAGCTCGCCCATTGGGCGTCCTGGCGTCTGTCGGCGCCTTTGGCCTGGCCGTTGCCTTTCCGGCCTTTCCCCTCCCCCTTCCTGCCTTTCTTCCCCTTCTCCCCTTTGAACTTCTTGGGGGGGGGAGGGGGAGGGGGGTCGACCGTGGCGGTGTCAAGCTCACGCCTGTTCGGCGGCTGTGGCTTCGTCTTCCCTTTGGGCTCGGGCCGCGGCGGCGGTGCGGCCATGGCCTCGAGGAACGCCGAGATGTCGGACATGACGCCCGACGTGACCTCCTTGAAGGTCCGGCGTTGGCGCATTTCCATGGCGAGCGTCGTCGCGGTCGAGGTCCAGTATTGGACCAGGGCCACGATGTTCACATTCCTGGCGCGGACCTTCTTGTCCCCCCAGGAGATGTAGGCGTCGACGTCCTCCTCGGCGCCCAGGCCCGTGAGGACCCATGCCAGGCGGATGGCCTCAAGGCCGTCGAGGACCGCCATGACGTGCCGGGACTCCCAGGACTTCTTCTCCTCGGCCGCCACCACGGCGCCCCCGACGATTTGCAGGGACCCGGCGGGAGAGTCGCGACCAACTGCGGCGAGCTTGTTGAGCTTGTCGGCCGAAGTCCAAGTCCTGGCGGCCAGGATCTCCCCCAGCATCAACGGCGTGTAAGCCTTAGACACCGTGTGTTCATGATAGATCCT